AGATATCTGTCTTTATTTCAAGTATGATTAAAGTTATCCAGCAGATTCAGAAAGTGTTAAAGAGGAAAGAGTGAAGGAACAGAGCCACTGTAACTGATAAAAACAGCCATTAATATATTAGAACATAATTACGCTGTCTTGAAAAGGGATGCAACACTTCATTATCTAAATGCCACTTACCACAGGCTAGCTCTCATATGCAAATGGCTCGGAAATATCAACTACATGTAATTAAAAATATCAGTAGAAACATAATGTACGTATCTTTGGCCACTTAACTAGAAGGTTGAGCAACATGGATGGATTTTCTTTTAAAGAGTCCAAAAACACATTTTGCAAAACAACTGTAATTAATTATTCACTATTCAGAATGTATACACATACATATATGTATGTACACATATATATGAAAGAATATAATAAAATAAAAGAATATATACATATAAGTATATATACAAATAACAGAACACTTTGGGTTGGCTTTTTGGTTTGGCTGGTCTTTCACCCAACCTCATGCCCAAAGCAGAGACAGCTCTCTGCTCTGGGCATTCAACAAGGCCTTATCCTGTTGGATCTAAGAATCCTAAAAGGAAAGGACTGCACAGCACCTTTGGGCAGCCTATCCCATCACCTAACCATCTCTGCATGAAGAAATTTTTCCTCGCATCCAATTCAAACCTCTCAGGTTTCTATTCATTTCTGTTCTCTCTTGATCTCCAGCTACGCTCAGTCATGAAGAGACTGGCTCCATTTCTTTGATGCTCTCCTTGTATGGATGGGCAAGCTGCCCAAAGCTGTGTTGCTCCAGGCTGAATCAGCCCAGCTCCCTCCTCACAGGGCAGCCACTCCAGGTCACTGCCATCTTGTTGCCCCTCTGCTGTCCTTTATGAAGGAAGGCTAAGAGATCTGTAACTGGCCTGGAGAAGACTGAGAGGGGATCTTATCACTCTTTAGAAATATCTAAAGTACAGGAGTCAAGTGGATGGGGCCAGGCTCTTTTCAGTGGTGTGCAGTGACAGGACTAGGGGCAACGGGCACAAACTGGAACAAAGGAAGTTCCATAAAAATTGAGGAGGAACTTCGTTACTTTGAGAGTGACAGAGCACTGGAAGAGACTATTGAGAGAGGGTGCAGTCTCCTTCTCTGCAGATATTAAAGTCACACCTGGATGTTTTCCTTGCAACTTACTGTAGAGAGGTTGGACTAGGTGATTTCCAGAGGCTCCCTTCCAACCCCTATAATTCTATGACTGTAGCTGATTTAAAAATCACTGGGAAGGGATGGCAACAAGCAGCTGGGAGCAATGGCAGTTTAAGTTCAATTAGCTGCAACTGGCAGAGGCCACAAGTGACATACAGCCCTGAAGACATCCATCCCACTGCACTCTGTTCATAGTCTTGTGCACAAGTTAACCCTATCTCTCTGGCAGGGGGGTTGGGCATTTGTGGGAAGAGAAAGATTAACTCAGAATGTTTGGAATGTACTCAAAGATCGTTTTGGTGGGTCCAAAAAACAAAGACTATAATTTGCTGGTAAGTCGCACATTCCGTACTTCTTTTCCAGCCAAACATTAATGAGCTCACCTGTCTCTACCAATGATTTCATACTTGGCAGCACTGCCTTCCTTACAGGTAATCCTACCTGTTGGAAGACAACTGTTTGATAGAACTGGACTGATTCAAGTTTCTTGAGTTCCTGCACAGACGGCAACTCAACTGTAAGCAAAAATTTACAGTAAGAAGTAGAACATGTGCCTAGCTTACAATAGATGGAACGTATGTGCAAATTCCTGTGCTGGCTTCTTTTTGTAACAGACACAAAAGTTTTGCTACTACATTATTAACACATTTTTTTTTCAGCAAAGAAAAAGATGCTGTTCAGATGGTTACAGTTCAAACTCACCTGTTTCTGCAAGCAGCCCAAGGATAAGCACATCAGAGGGCAATGTGACAGCTCACTTTTAGAGCTACGTGTCAGTCACTGTGCAGAATGACAACAGAGTTAACTTCAAGTAGTCCACAGGCTAATCCTTTACATTGTGTATTAACTCTGTGAAAGCGTGTGCCCTCATGCTAGAGTGTAACAGTGCTGTGTGCCTCCTGTGCTCTGAGACCTGCTGCTCTCCCTCTGCCATAACATCACTTCTGAATCTCCTACACTTAATGTACTGCTGCTCTATGGACCAAACTGCCATACCCCTCCTTAAAGTGGCCGCTCAAGAGGCTGGTCACCTGAATGTAGCCCACCACTGCACTCGTGTTTGGCTGCGTGGAGAAGTGGGAAGGCTGCTTCTCCTTCGCTGAGCCTGGCAGCAAGAATACAGGTTCCACACAGGCAGTGGCACGGAAAAGCCCATCTGGATGGGTCATTAGATAAGGCTCGGCCAGCGAAGATCGGCTGCAGACATCAGGAGAAGCTTCAGCAAATAGGCGGCAAACGAAAAATCAAAAGTGAGGCAATGAGAAGCATTTTGAACAGTTTGGGTGAAAGGAAGGGAGAAGGAAACGCACTCAAAAGGTTTGGCTCGGCCAGGAGCCGGCACGCTGGAGGCGATGTGACACGGCAGCGAGACGCGGCCGTGGGAACATCAAACCTCGTGTGGACACGGCAGCGGGCTCCCGCCGCTCTCCAGCCCTCGTACGGAGCAAAAGGCCCTGCCCGAGCCCCGCAAAGTTCCCGTCCCGCAGGCCGCCGACCCTTACCCAGCTCGGTGCCCGCGTTTCTAGCCGCCATGGCCCGCGCTCACGGGCCCGAGCGGGGCGGGGAGAGGCAGGCAACGCCGGTCCCGCCCCGCGCCGGCAGGAAGCAGAGCCGGCAGCGGAGGTCGCGTCGGCTGCTCTGCCCCAGGGAGACAGCCGTCCCGGGAAGCCCCGGGCACCGGCACGACAAGCGAGAGCGAAAAACAAAGGCACGAAGGCGGGACGTGGCGACGCCGGGTGCCCCTGCACCCACATGGCCGCTTCGACTTTTTTTGAGAGGAGCGGGCGGACGCCATCCCGCTGCTCCGCCCCGGGAACGGCAGCACGGAGCGCAGGCCGCCGCCACGCTGCTGAGGTCAAAGAGCTCTTCAGGCTCCTGACGCTGACAGAATAAGGTCGCTACATGCTTGCTTTGTACAGCCTTCTAGTGACACCAGCAAAAATCATAGAATCCTCAGAGTTGGAAGGGACTTCTGAAGGCCACTTAGTCCAACGCCCCTGCAATGAACGAGGACACCACAGCTACATCAGATTGTCCAGGGCCTGATCCAGCCTTCCCTTGGAAAGACTTCAGGGACAGGGAATCAGCCACATCACTAGGCAGCCTATTCCAGTTCTTAACATCCTCACTGTAAAATGCTATCTAAAATGTATCTAACCTAAATCTACCCTCCTTGAGCTTGAAACCATTTCCCCTTGTTCTGTCACCACAGACTGCTGAACAGTGTCCCCTTCCTTCCTGTAGCTCCCCTTTCAGTACTGAAAGCCCCACTATCAGGTCACCTTGCAGCCTTCTGCAAGCTGAACACCATCAGCTCTCTCAGCTTCTCCTCACAGGAGAAGTGTTCCATTCCATGGATGGAACAACCTATGGAAATAGAAATCTAACAATAAGGCCATTGACAATTTCATGAGCTTTTTTTTTTTTTTTCTTCCTTAGATTTGTAATGATGCAAGATTCCAGGAAAAAAAATTAAACATCATCAACATGAACATTTGCAATTTCAGCCCTACTCATTAACCCCGAGCATGGAAAGCACAAACTCACAACAGCATCTGGGAAAGCAACAAAGGGCCAAAGCGCTTATGTTTGAATGTTAGTGCAGCATTCTCTGTGAAACACTCAGCAGTCTACTTGACATACAGCACAAGAAGGTTCATTAAGGTGTGGAGGGGGGCCTTCTGGTTTTAAACACATCTTATTCAGCTGGTAAAGTAAGGAAGGATGAATTCTGGAATCCTCATAAGCCATAAATAAATTAGTAATTACTAAAATGAACTATTAGCAGTAAGTGAGAGGGACATTTGTTTTAAGGTTAAAATTTGAAGAGATTATTCAAAAATTAACTTCGTAGTTAAGTTACTCAATTGACAAATTCCTAATGATACCAAGAAACCAAGACTGATTTTATCCTTCTTTATTTTCCTTATTTACTCTTTTCCTCCCCCTTCCACAGAATAAATTAAGGCTGCAGTCAACCTCCAGAGACAGAGTCCAAACCCCCTACTCAGGCAGGGTCAGCTGAGAGCCACGTCCAGTTGGGTTCTACGCATCTTCAACATGGAAGAGGTTTCCTGGAAAGGCTGTAGAGGCTTCTAAATCTGACTGCCCTCACAGAGAAAGTATTTTCTTATGCTTAGACCTCTGTTTCAAATTATATTCAGGTTTTCAAAAGTTAGGCTTTAGTTTTCTTCTAACATTACTGGATGCCACTAAGAGTCAGAAAATTAAGGACAAATCTCAATATGGAAGAAAAAAAAAAAAAAAAAAAAAAAAATATCAGGAAAGTATATGACCATATGATTATATAGTGTTTTTCCTTCCCAAAAAGAACAACTTATGCAAGTCTTTCAGCATTAACATTAAAGGAAATGACAAGCAGAATGGCAATATTTTCTTTAATGATGAAAGTATGGGTTTTGACCTTGAGAGTGTAACTTTTTCCATTCAGTTTATAGAACTAAACCCAAGGTTTTTTTTTCTTTTTTTTGTTTTTTTTTTTTTTTTTTACAAACTCAGCCAACCTCTGAGATTTTCATGTACAACCACGTATTTCAGTCAGTACATTTAGTTTAGGAGTTCCCAATGCTTTTGATTTAGAGACTCACTTTTACATTCAAAAGTTAAAGAATAAAATGATGCAAGGCTTACATATCAAGAAACTTGCCACTCTCTGGACCAAACACTAAAACATTCTTATTGCTTTCTCTCTGTATAATACAAAAACAGATGCTAGAGAGTATTATACTATTAATTTGGCTGCTTTTCAATTCCATGAACCCAATGCTAAACAGTAAAGCTAGGAGTTTTGAGAGGCATTTTATTTAGACAACTGAAAACAGTTAAACATTCAGAAGCAGTGTACAATGAAACAAAAACTGAATACTTTTGGTACATAATCCCCTTTTCAACTAAAGCCAAATCTTCCAACTTTAAAGGAAAAAAAAAAAAAAATGGGTAAAAGCCATATTTTTTCTCTGTAATAAAGAAAACACACTACAATGAGTCTAATTGAAATTGGAGAGACTGGATCTTGGCTTGCACACTTCTTTCAAAAGACAGCAGGCAGTTATGCTAAAAAGATAGCAAAACTCTACTACTTGTCTTTTTTTGGATACTCAGTTCTCTTACAGACAACACCTAGCCAGTTCCACTGCATTCTCATCAATTACTGCCCATCTTTGCCTTATGTAGAGAGTGCACTCTGGAAGGCTGCTGTTTATCACTGCTCACTTGATTTAGTCTTGTATGTCCATACGTTGCATAACAGTTGAGATAATCACGCCTTAACTTCAGGAGTTGAGCTGTACACTGAATCTGAGTTTTCAGAGGCAACTTCTTCTGCAATTAAAGAAAGAATCAATTTACATACATAAACCAAAGAACGCTGCAGTGATGTTTTAAAGACTGGTTTAGTTTTCTTTTCCACTTAACCCAATTGAGATTTTTCTACCCTATCTGCTAAGTTTGCAAGATCACACAGCTCTTGTCACTATTTTGACACTTAACATAGTTTCCTAGAAAAACATGCTCAAAGATCTTTAGATGAGTGAAAAATGCCAGAAGGTACTTGGAAAAAAGTTAAGACTTCTTCAGTAGGAAAGAGTTAAAGTTGGCAGTTCAACGTATTACCTATTTCCTCCTCTGCAGTTCCTGGAAGAGTAGTCCTTGCTTTCGCTGCTTCTGCATTCTCCTCTTCTGTAGGGAGGAGAAAAAATGGTTAGTACCTTCCCTTCCACTCAACACAGAGTAAAAAGTGGGTTTCACTCTGAAAACAAAAAAAATTCCCACTTATTTATTGTTAAGGAGAAAGAGCTGGGTAAGCAATTCCATCAACTGTTGCTTGTTTGCTGTTTTCTAAGCACTGCCTCCCCATGAGCTCCCTCCCCCCAAAAATACTAGAGAAAGTAGAAAAAGCTTATAAGAATCTAGAGAAAGTACAGAGAAAGCTTGAAAGAATCTGCAGAAGGAGGGGTATATGTCTTAACTATTCACAAAATTATTTCAAACCTCTTGCTCTATAACATGAAGATTTGAGGCCATACAAGCAATTTGATACAAAGTACCAATATTAATTAAGCTCTCATTTAAGTTGCTTAAATGACAGCTACAGAAGTCAAATCTTAAATCCCACAGACTTGAGTGTCACTGAAGATGCCAAATGACAGTAGAGATCCTGTAACAAATTCAGATGATGTTTGCCATTTATATTACTACTAAGATTTTTGAACGAAGCAGCCAAGTAACCAGGAAAAAGAAAACAAAAGCACACACTCACCAGGAACTACGCACTTCCAAAGACCATAGGTTTTCCCTACTGTTGTCTGCCACAGCCTTAGTGTACCATCCTCTGAGCCACTGGCATATAACTCCCCATCAGGGCTAAATCTCACACAATGAATTGGACCAAAGTGCCCTTTGTAAGATTCTATGAAGAGAACATATCAAGGCCAATAATTTCTAACTTCAAGCAACAGCAAAAATAAATGAGTAAAAACTAACTAGAAGGGGAAGAGAAATATGAATTGGGAGAAACTTCTCCAATACTTTATTTTTAATACAAAACAACATCTCTAATAATTAGTATCCTCACAACTTTTAATGAAGTATTGTTATCTGAATTAAATGCAAGACAGGCATCTAATTATTATAAGCAAAATTACAAAGCAAGCCAACAGCATAGAATACACGTGCTCTGTTTCATCAACCACTTCCCATATACACATCTATGTAACTTTAAACAAAGACAGGAGCAATAGATGAAAATACACTTAAAAATGCATTACAGTTGGCCAGCATTAAAATACAGTCCAGTAACTGTGATTCATTAGACATAATGAATGCCACAGTGTGACATTTAAGTTAACATATAGTTTGCTATTGCAGCAGTATGGGATGACTCACTTTTTTTTTTCCTCCCTAATAGCTGCACAGCTATTTAGTGGAGGCTTTAATTAGATCTATAAGAGTAACATTAGGTATACTAACAAAGGACAAAGCCTCCTAACTGACTACTTACCTTTCCATTATCTTGAACTCAAATAAGGCTGTAGCACAGCCTGCTCTACAAGTTTAATTCATCACCCACTATGTCATTTAGCAAATACCTGTCAGAACTTGTTTTTTTTTATTATTGAAGTCAAACATACCTAATTCTTCTCCTGTGTTATAGTCATATTTATAGAGTTTAAAATCTTCACCACCTGCAACCAAACATTCTTTCTCTGGGTGAAGTGATGCAGAATTGATTGTAGCAGGTGCTTCAAATGATTTAATCTGCTCTAGACTGAAGGAGGAGAAAAAGTTATTTTAATAAAGGTCCTGAAAGCAAAGGAATTGTGATTATAAAAATCACATTTTATTAAAAAAAAAAAAAAAAAAAAAAAAAACCCACACACAACCAAAAGTAAAACAACAGAAGACACCCACATGCAGTTTCCAAAACTAATTTTAACACTAGCAAGTCAAGCTCATAAACTTTAGAAACAGCAAGTTCAGAATAAGCAAAATACATAGAATAAGTTCACACATTTCAAACTACTTTCTGGTACATGTTTATGACTGCAACTTGCTTTAAAACATCATAGAAATTGTATAAGTTAGTTCTCTTAAAGCAATAAACTGAACTATGGATGAAAATCTTATTTAATGACAACTCCAACTAGTTTTGAGCTATTAAAATGGTATTGATCCATTACAGCCTACCATCTTGCAGACAGTTAGAGTCCACTATTTTAGAAAAGGACAGTTGTTTCAGACTTTGCCTCTGACAACATGGTAGGTAAAGATATCTATTGGCATCAGTTCTAACAGCTTTGTGACCTTGCCCTTGTACTGTCAGTTTTCCTCACAATCAAACCCGTAACAAGTCAGAAAGATGCTCTGTTTTGGACTCACGTTTCCGCACTATGAAAAGCGATAGTCTTCCCATAGGTTATCACAAGTATTTGCCCTTCTGGAACATACTCCATGCTGCTCACAGACATTGCAACATTTAGCGCCTTCACTTCAGTCATGGTACTCCTGTCCCAGAGGCTTAAGAAAAATCAGAAAGACTCTCAGATCAGTTCAGCAAATCAGTTTCCACCTCCACCCATGGCACGCTGTGGTTGCAAAAAGCCACCTGAAGAACATTCCACAGACACTTTAGCATGCTTTACTTTGCTTTGCTTTACTTACATGAGAATTAAGGCACGTTTATATTAGAATACTGCTACTGTTAAAATTTAATAACAACGTTAAACAGCATGCATACTGTTTTACTGTTTAATTACTCAAGGATTCTTTTAAAAAGCTAAAAGCTTATTACATGTCTCCTGAACAATACAGCTTTCTAGAAGCAAAGCTTTAAGACTGCATTCTACCTTTTTAAACTCAAAACACAATGAGGTATAATACTAATTTAAGAAAATGTTAGACTCATTGAATATAATTCAGCACTTTACCTAGGCAGGCAAGAAATATCTGTATAGAAATCAAATTAAATCGTAACAAACTGTCCCACACAACATCCTGGTCACCAAATTGGAAAAAAATGGATTTGATGGATGAACCACTTGCCAGATAAGGAATTGGCTGGATGGCTGCACTCAAGAGTTGCAGCCAACAGCTCAGTGCCCAACTGGTGAGAGACCAGTGATGAGTGGCATTCCTCAGGGAAAGGTTCTGGGACTGATACTATTTAATACCTTTGTAGGTGACATGGACAGCGAGATTGAGTGCACCCTCAGCAAGTTTGCAGATGACACCAAGCTGAATGGTGCAGTTAACACACTAGAGAGAAGGGATGCATCTCTAGCAAGACAGGCTTGAGAGGTGGGCTCACGAAAACTCATAAAGTTCAAGAAGGCCAAGTGCGAGGTCCTGCACCAGAACTGGGGCAAACTTAAACACAGGTACAGGTTGAGCAGATAATAGCTTGAGAACAGCCCTGAGGAGAAGGTTTTGGGAATGTTGTTTGATGAAATTCAACGAGCCAGCAATGCACACCGGCAGCCCAGAAGGCCAACTGCATCCTGGGCTGCAATTGTGTGTGACCAGCAGGTCGAGGGAGGTGATTCTGCCCCTCTACTCTGCCCTCATGAGACCCCACCTGGAGTACTGCGTCCAGTTCTGGGACCTCCAACACAAGAAGAATATCAAGATGTTGGAGCAGGTCCAGAGGAGGGACACCAAGATGATCAGAGGGCTAGAGCACTTCCTCTACAGGAATATACTGAGAGCACTGGGGTTCTTCAGCCTGGAGAAGAGAATGCTCTAGGGGAACCTTACAGCAGCATTCCAGTACATGAAGGGGCCGAGAGGAAAGCTGGAGAGGGACTTCTTAGAAGGGCATGTAGCAACAGGACGAGGGTAAATGGTTTTAAACTGGAAGAAGGTAGATTCAGACTAGACATTAGGAAGAAATTCTTTAGCGTGAGGGTGGTGAGACACTGTAACTGGTCACCCAGTGAGGTTGTGGATGCTTCCACTTTGGAGGCATTCAAGGCCAGACTGGATGGGCTTTGAGCAACCTGGTCCAAGGGGAGACGTCCCTGACTACAGCAGGGGAGTTGGAAGTAGATCATCTTAACAGTCCTTCCAAACCAAACTATTCTATGATTCAGTAAAATAAGAAACTTATAAGTTAACTGAATGCTGTATTTCTATTTCTAAAATTCAGAGAAAAAAAAAAGAAAAGATCAGTCTTTTGCCTATCTGGAATAAAGAAACTGAAGAGAAATGGAACCAAAAAAGAAACAAGGAGACTACAACTGTGATTTCACCCTATCCACTGTCCTTCCACAAAGCAGAAAGCCACTATTATTCTGTGCCATAAACATAATAATAATGAGACATTAGGCATGAGATGATGCTGATCGTATCAACCAGAAAGCTGAGGAATCAGCAAGGCACATCTTCCTTTTTTGGTGAGCATAGTTTGAGGAAGGATCTTTGTTATTTGACCTCCCCAGTAGCCAAGTCTGTCTAAGTTTTACCCATCTACATTTAACTGGATGATCTATCTTATAAAACCACAAAAGCTTTCTCAACTTACCAACATGGTAGAGAAAGACAGCTATGACTATTAAGAGTGCATTGAGAGGCTTCTCCAGAAGAGGCTTCCCTGCTTTTTATCTCAGCCCTCGCCTTATGCATGTTTCAGGGCTTGACTGCAGAAGACAAGGCAGTGACACTTCATCTAATATCTTCACAAGACCTCAGCTAGCAATTAATTTCCTCCAGGATTACGAAAAATCAAATTAATTCTACTATTCAGTTATCAAAGACCACCTCTTCCCATCAGGGAGGACATGCTTATGGTGCAAATCAGAATTACCACAAAAATTACATCTCCAGCAACATATAAAAATTGGTTTACATGAGCATATGCTAATCTAGAATCAAACAGCCTGTGTTACCATTTCCCAAGGCAAGAACAACCTTCTGACAGAAATCGTGCACTATAATTAAGTGTGAGCTTCTTAGAAAACTAGAAGTTATTTTTTTTCTTACCGGACAGTTTTATCATCAGCTGAAAGAATCTGTTTGTCATCACTGCTCCATAAAGCCTTTTTAATACCAGAAGTATGTCCACTGACAACATCAGGTTCTTAAAATAAGAACAACTATTTAGTACACATAAGAACATAAATAAACATTATGCAATAGTTTAGGAACTCTGGTAATCTATATGGATTTCTGTTTGCTAGAAAATGCAAAATTACTTCAAACACTACTGACTTTATTTACAGATTTCAATCTAGGAATCTATTCAATTGTCTAAACTTAGAGTTTCACTAGGTTAACATCAATATCAATTAGCTTTATATCCATTTTCAGCAGTTCAGTATTAATATGAATTTAAGCACAGTTAAACATGAAGAGACTTTTCCCTTTCAGGTAGTGGAACTTTAGTTAGACCTACTCATAGTAAGTCCCTATTGAAGTAAAACATGCTATCCCTGAAACGTTCATAGATAAGCTCTATTTCACTTCAAAGACTAACACAATTTGATTTAGTACATAGAAAACTGTTTGACACGTTCTTTGTAGAACAAGCTCAAGTGTGTCTTGTGTTTCACAACAAAGTCCAGAATTCATATTTAACTCGCACACAAGAAAAATCAACACAACAGAAAACCAGCAATAACCAGTTCTAAGTGCAGACTCACCTGCTTCTGGCTTGCTTAAATCATAGATGCGCAACAATTTATCTTGTCCACCTGTTAACAGATAATTGCTATCCTGAAACAGAAGTTATAAAGGGTCAACTGTATTTTGAATTGAAATATCAGCCTTCATCCAATAAGCCTTAAAATATCAGTTATTTATCTCAGACAGTTTCTAAAATATTTATTACAACTTGTTTATAAGATCAGAGCTTAAATGTATGCTACATTACTTGCCTGCCAAAACAGACACAAAAAAAGTAGCAAATAGCAAAACATACCAGAGACCTTACCTCTCTGTTGAGTATGCTATAAAGATTTTTCATACCTGTGTAAAATCCACACTTTTGACAATGTGTTTGTGAGCCAATGTGATTAGTTCATCTCCTGACACAGCATCCCACACTTTGCTAAATGACAAGAGAAAACATGTACATTTCAGTAGCTCCAGGACAAATCTGAACAGACAAATTAAGTGGTCTCTCCTAACCTACCCTATATAATCCTTCCTGACACTATTATAACATTTTTAATCTTAAATTCATTCTAATGAACTACAGACACACCACATCTTCTTTTACTGAAGTGTTTTTTGTTACTATCCCACCATTTTCTTTCACTCACTTCTTCAGGATAACACACAATCAGCATTTCAGATTTAAGACAAACAAAGGCAGCTCTTCTCCACAACTTTTACAGACTGAATTCGAATAACTGGATTTGAATCATCAAATATATTAACATACACTGCAAACAGTTCAAACAAGGAAAACAAAAATAAATGATTCACTAATATTTCTGCATGTTTCCTTCTAATAATAAGTGTCTGACTGGTACACAAAATGAAGATCACTCTTGCCACTCTGGTATAACTACAATACTAAAGTCTTGAACTGCACAGCATTGTTTATTCTAGCAAATCAGTTCATTAATTAGATATACTTGTCAAGAAGCAACCATAGTTGCTCAGCAAGATAGAATTAGCTGTAGATGCTCATAAAAATTTCAAATTCTAGTCTGTAATATAGTTATAAGGTAACAATTTACTTTAAAAAAAAAAAAAAACACAACCACAGCAACTTACTACAGACATATTAAAAAAAAGCTATTGACTGAAATCAAAATAAAGACTTGAAAAGCAGGCAATCACTTACGCTGTAAAATCTGCGGCTGCTGTAGCTGCTTTAGTGGCATCTTTGTTCAAAGTAGCACCCCAGACAGCACCTTTATGACCTAGGAATGTGCCAATCCAGTCTCCTGTGTCACCCTGACGTAGCATAGGCTTTCCATCTTCAGAAAAACAAAACCAATATTCAGACAACATAACAAAAAAGAAAGCTGTTTCAGGAAACGGTTCCCTTGCACCAAGTGGAACAGAAATTAAACCGCCATCAGACCAGCCTCCCTTAATGGAAATGCCATATTCACTATGAAGCTATTCTTTATAAAACAGCTTAGCTAAAGAACTTAAATATACAGTTGCACCTCTAGCATGCATCTAAAGTCACAAATAAAAAAATATCATTCCAAATGAATTTCAAGTTTTCTTTTGGTTTTGTTTTTACAACAGAAAGGAGCACCCTTTGTTGTTTGTCACTTTTTTTTAAATATAGTCAAATTTTCCTAGGGCTGGTCAGTTCCATTGATTTTGAAATAATATTTTCAGACTAACAAGGCACAAAAAGGAGTCTTGGGTTTATAATGAGAGATGTTTACCGAGATGCTGTAAAAATGAAATAGAAAGCCTTTATTGCGATTATTTTTTCTAGGAGGGTATCAGATACGCTTCACACAAATAAACAGAGCTGAACATGAAGTCCTCAGAAAGAATGAGGAATGTTCTTTTAAACTTGTGAACACACATGAAGATTAACTCATACACATACGAATGAAAATGCTACTCTTATAAGAAAGCAGAAGAGAGTTCTCATGGGAAAGGAAGCAGAAATCACTGCTCTGCAATCAGCAAGGCAGCTGCCACGGTTGAAAAGGAGCCGACTTTACAGGGTGTACGGGATATGTACACAAGAGGCAGTTACAGCTACTTTAAAATAACGACTTTCAAGCCTTTCCCTCACAAGCGGGATTCAACCTGAATGAATGGAAGCTCTAACACCCTGCGGGCTAAAACGCTGCAAAAACCCTCCAACCGGTTCCCTTCTCCATCTGGTCACGCTGGAAGCAGGTATTATTTTAAGAGCACCAACGCCCCGCTGAATGTTCGCCTCGACCCTCCTCCTCCTCCCCGCTCTCCCCATCGCAAACCTTTCTAATAGGTATCTGCGACCGCAGCCACGCGCAACCCGTTTACAGCGGCCCGCACACCCGCCCGCTGTGCCCACGCGGCCTCAGGGCGGAGCAGGCCCAGTGGCTGCGGCCCTTGCAAAAGGCCGGCGAGGCAAGCGCGGCCGCCCACCCCTCTCCCCCCAGCCACGCTCACCCTTGCAGGCGCTGATAAGGAAGTAGCCGTAGGGGGTGACGCCGCTGAAGGCCAGGTCCACCACGGGCCGCGTGTGCCCGGAGCACGTCAGCGGGGTCTGCCTCATGGCCATGGCGGCGGCTGAGCTCGGGACGCGCAGGGAGCTGAGCAGGGACGCGGCTATCCTACAGCCGGGCAGGAAACGGCGACCGCGGTGTTGGCGGCAGCGGCGGAAATGACGGCGGCGGAAGCGCTCCGGAGCGGAAGCTACGTCAGCCAGCGGGTGCGGAACCGGAAGTGCTAGTAGGCATTACGTGGGGGCGGAGCGTGCTCTGAGGGGGCTGAGGTGGCAGGTTGCTGGTGGGGTGCAGTTGGCGGCGCAATGCCTCCTGCTTCTACCTTCTGCTTCCTGTAGTTATAGCCCTGCGCTGTGCTAGTCAGCTCTGTTTGTAATCACTGACTTGTAATATTAAGGATTTTGTAATTTCATGGCCAGTTTTTCTTGTTTTTGTTTTGTTTTGTTTTGTTTTTTCTTCAAAATCGTAGAATCCTAAAAGTTGGAAGAAGCCCCTGAGGTCATGTAATTTACCCATCAACTCGTCACCACCATGCCCACTAGCCACGTCTCTCAGTGCCACGTGAGCGTGTTTCTTAACACCTTTCAGGGATGGTGACTCCACCACTTCCCTGAGCAGTCTATGCCAATGCCTCACTGCTTTTTGAGAAGAATTTTTTCTAATACCCAAGCTGAACCTCCCCTGATACAACTTGTTGGAAATATCCAAATAATTTATCAGGATGCCATCTCCAATAAAGCAGATTTTATTTGCAATTGCAATGGTGGGCCTCCTGCAAGCAGGAGAGTGTGCAGAAAACAGCATTGCATCTTTTATGCCCTATTACTCAACGCTTATCTCTTTCTCCCCTGATTCCTCATTGGCTGAGTACTTCAGGTTCGCAGTCTTCCCGACACTCAACTAAACATACGGATACTGGCTAAATATAATTTTTTGCTAGCTAAACATATATCACTAATTAGTTAACTTCTCACACTTGCTCATTCAGAAGGGGAATAGGGGGAGTACCTTGATGCCTGCCTGGTGCATCCCAACCTACCCACAGAGCAAGGCAATCCAGCCTTGTGTAGAGGCCCTGGCTTCTTCAATGTTTGTTTAATCTGTTTTTCTTTTGCTGAGGGTCTCTTATCCAAACAGAATACCCTACAATATACTTTCTAGTCCATAGTACTGTACTTACACTATTGCAGTTTTGCAAGCAAGAATTAATCACATAATTCATCAGCTATATTTCTAAAGCATGTTGCTAACATATATGGTATTTCTACTTTTTCACATGAGCTGTTTCTAAGGACAAGTTATAAAATACAAATACATTGTGCTCTACTTCTTCAGATCAGTTCCCCCTTTTTAATATCTAATGTAGAAACAACATTCCATTCCTACAAATGTAAGGCCATTACCTCTATTTGCTAGTTGCCTGGGAAAAGAGGCCACTCATCACCTTGCTAACACCTCCTTTCAGGGAATTGTAGAAAGTTAAAAGGTCTCCCTTGAGTGATCCCAATTTTCTCAGCAGCTCTTTATAACACTTGTGCAAGACCTTACACTTGACTTTGTTCAATTTCTTGAGGTTCTCTTGGTCCCACTGTTCGTGCCTGCCGAGGTCCCTCTTGATGGCATCCTGTTCCTCAGGTTTGTTACCACAGCACACAGCTTGTTGTCATCCGCAAACTTGCTGAGAGTGCACTCGACCCCACTATTGATATCAAAATATTGACAAACATGTTGAAGAGCATCAGCCTCAGTACTGACCTGTGTGGGACACTACTCGTCACTGATCTCCATTTGGACGTTGAGCCACTGGCCACCACTGTCTGGGTACTATCTCACAGCCAATTCCTCTTCCATCGGACAGTCTGCCCATCAAATCCACATCTTGCCAATTTGGAGAGAAGAATGTTATGGGGAACCATGTCAAAGGCCTTACTGAATTCCGATTAAGTACTGACATCCAAATAGATGATCCCTGCCTCTTAGCCCCTTTGTATCACTTCCATTTAGGTATGTTTATTACCTACAGTCTGATGATCTTTGATTTAGAAATAGATTAACTCTGTGCACTCAGGCTTGACATCTTTTAACATGGAGGTTGTAAGAGAAACAACAAACTGTAAAACAAGTACTCAAGTTTTCAAGGAAGTCTAGAAATGTATTGGAAAAAGAAGAAAGAGTAGAAAAAGTAGTTATTTACAAATGAAAGCCTCACAAGCTTAAAATAAAAATAATAAGATTTTATTTTGTTCAATTTGGTTTTAGCCAAGGTTATTATGTATCAGACAGCAGGAAAGTAAGCAAAAAAATATATATTCAAAGTTTCATATTTCTCCATTCATTATCTACATTATCTCCATTTCTTCATTATCCAAACAATTATCCTATAGAGTTAAGTAAATATTCGTTAACTCCAGCTTGTCAGGAAGTAATCAGGGACTTGTAATCATATAGAGCAATTCAACTCATTACTGCATGGAATAACAAGTATGCCAATCATATGTTGTAAAGCACCTGGGCAAGAGTCTCTGTCACTTACGATTTATAATACAGAGTATCTGCTTGATTAACAACATCTTTCCACAGACAGTGATTGCATTTTCGTAGAACTGTTGCTGAACATGAATAAAGCTATCCTAGTGAAAGGTCATGTTTCTAGTGCTTTGATTAAAATAGATCAAGCAGAGATTGAATCAAGGAGTGTTAAGTGTACATATTTACATTTCCAAAGATTCCTTTCTTCTCCTGTGCTAGATAACATTGTTGAAAATCCCTTCTCATGCCACTGAGGGGAGCTCCTTACATATCTATTAGCACATTACTGCTGTAGCTGAGAGCTTCTGCTCTGGGTGACTTTTTGGTAGTGATTTCAGTTATAAAAGACTGCTTTATGGACATAGCACTAAAGCTACTAGATGTTTGATTCTCTGAAATGAATCGGCTCAGCAGGTGAATGGGAAGCTACCAGTGTCACTAGAGGCAGCAGTGGGGCAATCTCTTCGTTAAATTACCTTGAATCTGAGTTATTCTAATAATCTGAAGATTCGATGTAATGACTAGGTGCACCAATGCTCTTTACCTCTATTGAGTTTTTCTTTGGCGAAATGTTCCCTATAGTGATTTGTACAGATAAATTGGGAAGGAAAAAAAAAAAAAAAAAAAAAGGAATGGATGTTTGCTGAAGGATGATGTGTTGCAGATGCTGTGAGTAGATACGAGAGCAACTGCAGAGCATGTGGTTGTGTTTTCACTGGGGAATAATTACAACTGAGAGCCAGCCTTAAGCAGTCAATTATCACTAAGTAACTGAATGAGAAAAGTAATCTTATTTTACAAATAACAGAAAAGTGTGCATCAAGGCAGTGATTCCTTTATAGAACAGCCCTTCAACATGATTTTTATAATTTTATGGATGTTATTTTAACACACATCTAGGGAATGTGAGGACTGCAGCACAGAAACTCTTCTGTTGGGTGTACATGGTAATATCTTTTGAGAATGTGAACAGAGGCAAAAGGGACTAAACAGAGAAAAGAATTGTAGAGAAACTGAGAAGAATATAAAGAGGAGTTTGAGAGACCAGCAATAAAGAGATGATAAGGGGCTGTGTATGAGACACATAGCACATAGAAACAAGATAGGAGGGAAAATAAGAGACTTAGCTCAGTGTCCAATCTTGTGTCTCATACAATTGGTGGAGTTTGTAACTTTTTATCTCTTACTTACGGACAAGGTCAGATTTTAGATCATTTCTTTAATCATCACCTGGATGTTAGAATACCAAAATAATTCACTCTTCTATGAAGAATTTTAGTCCTGACTTTCTCTGCTTTCAATTCAGTTTCTCAGAAACTTTTCTGTCTGACTGGAAGACAGAGATATGGGACATTCAGAACCTGCACCAACAATAGAGTGACTAAGCCAACAAGGATTATTAAAAATGGTTTTATCTTTACTTAGTTGCTTCTCTGATCCTCAGTCTTCAGGTTCCATTCTGTCTTTTGAAGAGAGAAAGATGACCATGCTGGGCAAATAGATAGGATAGCAATAGGAAAAAGTGATGACAAACTTTAAGTAGGCAGTGTTTTCACTGAAAAGTTATTGCCACTGCAAAAGTAAAAGCAGCAGTTGAACAAATTATTGAGACAAAAACAAATCCAAGGAAAGGAAATGTTTCCCACAATTCAGTACTAACCATATGTTCCCAAAACACAGTTCCTAAGTTAACTCTCCGAAAAGAAAGTAATGTAGAGTAAGTGGTACACTTTGGGGGTTTAGGATGGAAGATGTGGAGTAAAGGATAGCTGGAGAAACTTGGACATTATCACCATGGGAAACGCACATAGAGCATAACATATAGTATGCCTGTGTTCCAAAATCATGTACTAGGATTGATTCTATTCAATCAATTCATATAACAGTAGAGTTTTATGGTAAGCTGATGAATATGATATGGATTTATAGAAGGAACAAATGTCAATGAACAGCTTTATAGAGACTTGATGGGATGGAAGGGGACAGATTATCTTGAAGTGTTAATAGGGGAGATGAGAAGAAGGAATGCAGAGGAAAGAGATAAACAAGTCTATTCCCGTGCTTAGTTCTTGTAAGCAGCTGACATATAGGTGTTATGGGTGCTAAGTTACAGGTAAATCATTTATATTTCAGTTCTCAGCCCGCAACATTGCTCCCTAGACAGTTTGAAGCATGACAGGAGGAGACATAGTTATGAGTAACATAATATTCTTTTCCCACCTCTTTTCAAGTCTCATACTGGAACCACTTCATAATTCAGGCTACCTAAACAACTATACACTTCTGCAAAGGATTTAAATTCACCATGGAAGTGAATCAGATTATAACAGCTTTGCTAAAAGAGCATACAAATTGTCTGGCAGTTGACTTACTTTCCAGGAAACAATTTAGCAAAATTCTTATTTTCTAACTATTATAAAATCTATAATACTTCTCTAACTGTAAGAGCAGTAATACCAATTTTCAGGAATGAGCTCTAGCTGAATTAATTCATAACAGTAAGCTGCTTTCATGTTTTCACTTGCAAGGTGTTCTTCACCATGAAAGATACTTAAGATTATTGTTCTAAAAAGGTAAAGTAATTCAGACATCAACCTATAACAATTAACAG